AGGGAGAGAGAGAGAGAGAGAGAGAGAGAGAGAGAGAGAGAGAGAGAGAGAGAGAGATGTCCCCTACCTCCATTGCCTTACCTCACTGAAGCCGCTTAACCTCCCTCCTCAGTGAAGAAGGCCGAACTCCTCTTGCCCGACTCCTCCATAGCGCCTGCATACCCGATCTCTCTGTCTAAGCCACCAAGCCCTAACCCGAACTAAATCCCTCTCCGTTCAGCCTTACTCACCTCTAATCAAGCCAACAGAGGCTTAGAGGTGATTGTTTTCTTAAGTTATTCTTATTATTATTTAAAGTATTAGTAATGTTATTAATGTTAGTATTAATAGTAATATCATTGTTATTAACAGTAATATTGTCATTATTGTTATTAATAATAATATTACTATAATTATTATATTATTAATATCCTCATTATGTTAATAATATTATTAGTGCTAAAAAAGTATTATTTTATACACTTTCCTCGACGCTTGCGGTGAGCCGGCAAACCCTCTACGTGCTCACGTAGCATAGTAGGGGGGAAATCGGCGCGACGCTTGCGACGACCTAAAAAAACTCCTTCCTCGATGCTTGCGACGAGCCGGCAAACCCCCTACGCGCTCATGTAGCAAAGTAGGGAGAGAAACCGGTGCGACACTCGCAACGAGGCGGGTAATCCCCAGAGTGCTCATGTAGCATGATGGTGATGAAAACTAAGTACCTTCGAATGCTCACGTAGTGCAGAGGGAGGAAAGAAACTATGCTCTTTTAAATAAGTACAAAAAAAAACCCTTAAACGCTTATGTAGCGGGTGGGGATAAAAAAAAAAAAAGAACCGCGGTGTCATTTGACACCTACCTGAAGCGCTCAAGTAGCGACGAGGGGAAGGTTGCCTCTTGGTTTTTCCCCTAAACGGGGGAGGCGCCGGGAGGTTGCCAAAATTCCATCTGAAGATGCGAGGGACTTGAACAAAAAAAGTTTAACTTGGACTTGGGTTTGATTGAACTCAAAGGACAATATGGGACTTGTGGACTTGATACAATCGACTTAAATGAACTAAAATTTAAAGGAATATGAATTTAAACAAGGACTCAAATTTGATTTGAACTTGAACATTTGGACTCAAGTGAACATAATTTTAACAACAGGGGACTCGAACGGAAGAGGCTCATATTAAGCCTGAACTATACTTGAACTCAAACGCAACTTTGTGGACTTAGGCTTGAACAATAAATGAGAACTTGCAAACTTAAATAACCAAAACTAAAGGCTTAAATTAAACTCAAGTCAAACATGGACAAATGATGGCGATCTGAACATGAATGGAACAAGACTTCAGAGGCCTTGAACTCAGATTTGAACTTGGACTCAATCAAGACTTATGACTTGAGCTTGACTCAAGGAACAATAACATTAGATAGATGGATGACAAAATGAAGATTTTAAACACATCACACGAAATAAACTATCTTTGAGGGAAAAGAATTTGCAAGGGTAATCTATTTGCAAGCAAGAAGAAGATAGTGAGAGATATGGCTGGCTCACAAAGCTATGATAGGGGATTTGGACCCTTGAATTGATAAAGCCGAAATGTAAAGTCCTAAACCTCAAGTTTTGGACTTTTGAATAAAATGTTAATAAGCAAAGGGGAAATTTGTTGCATGCAAAGGACAACGACACATATACATGATTGTAAGCATGAATATAAGCCTCTCATAAAGCACAAACAACTCATTTATGTGGACAAGATAAGTATGATGTACATGAATCATTAACAGAGTGTAGAAGGGATATGACAATTATAACACCTTTCTACAGTCAAGCATACAATATTCTGTAAACAATAAAGACCAATATACGAGCAAACACATCAGTCTTCTACTATGTGTGGTGGATATAATAAAGCTTATGATTGATTATAAACAATAATAAAGATCAATTAACTTGCAGTATCCGAAGAAAGTGTAAGCAAATCAAGACTCCTGGTGTGGGAAATCCCTAACGTTTCATCCATGAATAGTGAAGTTGAGATGGTTTATAAATAGCTGCATCAAACATTTGTAAACTGCTGAGGCTGTTGAGTTTAATGAGACATCAATAGACATGAGTAAGAGAGTCGTGATGAACATGTACCAAACGTGTCCTACCTACGAATGATGAAAGGGGAAGCGACATAAAAGTACACTTTGATTGCCAATGTTAGTCCGAAGTTCTCTTCAATGAATATCATTGTAAGCAATGATGCGGAACACCTCAATCATGAGTAACGACCAATATGGAGTGAACAAATGATGCAAATAGGTGATGTTGATTGCAAGCAAACATTAATTATACAAGTCCACAATACACAATGCATGTCATTTATAAGGAGAAATGCATAAAGGACTGTTACAAACACAGAAGAGACCCTGGAAGATGTAGTGTCCTGCAGTTTGCATCAATCAGCGAATGAACACAATAATGCTTGCAAGCAAAAATACACCGATCCATTGTAAGAAAGGATAGAGAACATGCAGCAAGGGTGGATATCTATGAGTCATTATAGGATACCTTTCATACAATCAACATGCCACTTAAGGCAAATATAAAAGAATTGCAAAAACAAGCTCCTACGAGTTACTACAAAAGCTCATTACGTCATATAACTAACGTTTTGTCCACAAGGAAATGTAGGAGATTCCTTATTCATACAATAGTCCATTCACAAGCAGAAGCAGATGGTTTGTAGCAAATTTAAATACCTACGAACCATCATAGGGAGCCTCTCATGTAAAGTACCATCTACGAGCCATCACAGAAGCTCGTGATAAATGCAATATCTACAAGCAAAATGCAAGAGAATCACAACAAATATCAAGCATCTATGATCAAAGAAGGAGATTCGTTAGTGCACTATAATCCATTTACAGAAAAAGACATGTAGTGCACGACAGTCTACATGTACAAAACACCAAACAATTCAATCTAGAAGCTGCTGCAAAACGCCACCGGATCCGCAACACTCACATTAGTGGACAGAAGGCATTTATAAATATTGCAAAGTACCCTCACACATGCAATATAGTTTGTATACACAGGTACACAAAAGGGGTAAATACAATCACAACCCCCATGGGCCCTGACGAGCATGTTGTAGGAATATATGTGACATTTAAGGATGCTGCGCGGGTTATTAAATTTGAACCCGATCCTCCTAAGCAAAAATGAGTCTACAAGGTTCAATAAATAATTACAAAATGCCCCCAAACACCTGCATGAGCCCTGGCGAGCGTGTTATGGATACACACGTGACATTTAGGGATGCTGCACAGGTCAGTAAATAAATCCAAGTTCAAGCCCGATCCTTATATGTGGGTAGATAGGAGTCGACACAGCTCGAACTATTAAATAAATTTGCGGTCGTGAGGTAGACTGAGATATTTATTTTATACATTCATATTAGGCCTTCAATATCTATAACAAAAGAAATCCATTCACAAAACCATGAAGCCTACAAAATCCGATCCTCTGTTGATAACTCGACAGAGTTGACAAGACTCAATTAACAAAGGGAAATAACCCCTCATACCCCGATGATGGCCGCGTTGAATGTAAATCTCAATCGGAGGGGTTAATTTCAAATATCTTCAAAATGCCACCCAAATGCGCGAAAATCCAAACATCTCAAAATTCCAAAACTTCACAAAACTTTCCAATATCTCAAAAAATTCAAAAATATATAAAATGAAAATTCAATCATTAACCACTTAAAGCAAAATCCATCCACCCTCCGCAATAGTTTGTCGGGGTGGACAAATCAAAATTTATTTCAGCTCACATAGAGCTAATGCATAGTAAAAAATATCACTATGATTTATTCTCAAATAATCTTCTGCAAGTAAGGACGTAGAACGTGTCCTCTAACCAGCAGTTTTGCTGCCAAATGTCATCGCAGGATAAACGCTTATGACCCTGGGCCCTCTGAACCGAGTTGTTTTGCCTCCAAATGGCACCACAAAATATCGATTATGGCCAGAGCTAATATGCCTCTTAGTGATATCAAATCTTTGATATATGAATTAATAGGATATGATCGATAGGTCACAAAGCCCTTTGTTAGCTAAGGTGGATTCAAATTTGTCCCCTTAGACAAACACTCACCCCAGGTCTATAAGGTACCCTTGGACGAAGCAACCCATGGTTGCCGACAAGGATCATTCTGTCAGGTTGGGTCGACTACCTCCTCTAACTAAGTAGACCAAAGACCACGATGGCCAGGGACGACGGAACCATAAGATCTTAATCGGGTTCATCATTCATTCCCCCACCATTCGCTTTAAGTGCAAGATAGTGTTATTTCTAATTTTAAATATCAAACATTTTCAAATTCCAAATACCCATGCCCATGCTGCTACTATATGCCGGATACCACATATCCATTGATACGATGTATTCATTGACGACTAGACTTAATCGAAAGTGCTCTCTCATTACCAGGAGGGATAATTAACTATAAGGGCTTGCGCCTATAGGAAACCAGAACTCAGATCATAAAGTCCTCGCAAAATGAGGGCAAAATCTCTGGGTAGTGTCTTATCTACAAATTCATCTGCCTGCCATAATTTAGCCCGGAACTTAATTCGTTAAAACTCCCCCTCGAAAGAAAAGCAACATTGTCAGGTGGAGGCTAGGGTAGAATTTTTGGAGCCCACAGATTTCTGGCGACTCCGCTGGGGATTGGTTTATCTTTCCATCTTTGGCTAGTTTTCTTAGTGTTATAGTAGCAGCTATTTTAACCCGTATTCAATAATTTTAATCTTTTAAAATGATCGTTTAACAAATCAAAACTTTGAATATTCTAAAATGATCATTCAACCAATTCTTATGGCATTTAGCATGATTTTTGAATTTATATTATTTTAATCGCTTGCTAATGTTTATTTGTTTTATTCCTTGTTCTGTGTTAGTGTCTGCATTTTGAAAGTGTGAGGCGATGTATCAGACTCTGATTACTAACCCGTACATTTCATTCATACAGATGGATCTACAGAATACCTCATTCACTGTCCAACTGGGGCGTGGTGCCAGTATTCAGTTGACAAATGTGATCATTAACACTGGACGTATTATATTGTACATTGCAAATTCACTTTTATATTGTACATTGCAAATTGCAATGATAATATATTTGATGACTTGGGTTTCTGATTGGCATCACCGAGGAGCTTGAACTCATTGCAGAATTGCTTCACGATTTGAGAAGCAATAAAAATACACCTTAAAAAAAAAAAAAAAAAGTTTCAGTATTGCATAGCATTAAAGTTGATAATTCAGTTATCAAATAGTTTTAATAAAGAAGAAAATCAATTTTTTTATATGGATCAATGAAATTCAGATCCATGTAGTTTTAGTTAAACATTTGCACTACTCCTTTGTATTCCTGAAGGGCTGCCAAATTCTTGATGTCTATATTTCAAATGCCAATCAGAAACATAATGCTCCGCTCTACGGATGATTTTGGCTGTTTCATGTAGGTTAGTTGTGGAGAAGACTAAGAGTGTTTGATTGGAAAAGATGAAGAGCAAACAAAAACTATGACATTCAAATTGTGAAGAAAAATCAAAACTATCCGTCATTCACGAAATGGAGAACATGAAAAGCAAACCTTGCCGACCTTACGAAGATGCGAGGCCAAGGGAAGATGTGAGGCGTGCGAAACCTTTGAACGAGACGAACGCGATGGAGAAGGCGAGGTGTTTGTACGGTGAAGACACTCTCTTGCTCGACTTAAGGGAAGACGACACATGGATAGGGCTTTTTGATGGGGCTTAAACAGAGTGATAGAATATATGAAAAGGGGAGGTTTTAGGTGGTATATAAGTAAATATGATAGTTTGGGTGTTTAATATGTATTTTTAATAGTTTGAGGTGTTATGTATGTAAAAATCTCTAAAAATTATAAATAAAAATATATATCAGATGAAATATTGGATATCAAACTTAATTAACAAAATGAATGAGTAAAATCACAAATTTTTTTTTTTGTAATGGTTATAAGCAACACAGATCATATTGCATTGAAAACACAAACTTCATTTCATATCTCAAATGTTACATCGCCTTGCAATTCACTTTAGAAAGATTCTCCAACTCCTTTCCACTAGAGGATTTCTGCTTCATTCTGTACCAGCTTTCTCGCAGTCTTAACTATTTTGCTGTTCGTGCTAGTGAACTACATCTTTAACATCTTCCTATGGTGCCAGTCAAAATTATGCAGAACGTTGTCAACATTCTCTCACCTTTACCACTATTTCTCCAAATGATTCGATGGTTTGCATACCTCTTCTTCCAGTACTTTCAATCGAGGCAGAATGAAACTTTGTTATGCTTCTTTGCCAATCAGTGTGCGCCAACATAGCAATGGAAGAGTTTCATACGTCCATCCATCTCACGGAGATGGTGCAACACGTCACATCAATTTTTTTTCCCGTTATGCTCATCTCCATTTTGAATAATATTCTGTTTTGCTTATCATTTCTATTTTAGCAAATTTTTGTTTTCGCATATCCACATACGCTCTGCTGCCTGGCGGAGTCCTGCTTATTGTGGAATGCCTTGCTGCATTAGGGACTGGATATCGATTTTTATGCAACTTATAGCTTCTGCACGGTGAGAACAATATACTTATTTCTGTTTTCCACTGTTTCTTCTGCGTTTCTTGTCCGCATATACACCAGGGGAGGCTGTTTTCTTGTCGTGGAATGGACTGGGAGATCCCTATAAAGCTTGGTCATGCACCGAAGTCCATAATGGAGTCTTTTTAGACGGACAGAAAAATGATTAGGGCTGTCAAGATTTTGTTGGAAAATTATCTTTGGAGAATAGGATTTTGATCCCCCCAAGACCTATCTATTCTCTAGCCAGGTGAGCTCTAGAATTGCATTCAAATTCTTTGTTCGGGAATCTTATTATGTTTGAAATTAAAATTGAAATTGAAATTCATCTTGGGGCTTAAAATCTTCAGTCTCTTTTTGTTTAGGTTGCCCCCATTTTAAACTCTTCATAGTTCCTTCTATTTGGGTGGTCCCAAGACTGATGACGTTGTTAAGCTTTTAGATTATGGCCTTAAGGTTGGAGGGATGTCCTGGTTGAGCCTTCTATAAGTGTTATTACGACTGTCCCTACGAAGAAAGTGGTTATTATGAAGCATTCGAAGCGATTGATTCAGACACTTCTCTTTATGAATAATACATGTATAAGCAATCTCGGGGCCAAAGATGTAGGTGCCCTCGAATGATGTTAGTGCTTCTTTGGAAGCTGAGCAATCCAAGGTCATTAAGGCTTCGTTTGGGACGGCTTTTTTATTGCTTTCTAAAACGGAGTTTTAGTACAAATTTTTTTATTTTTGTATTAAAACTCCGTTTTAGAAAGCAATAAAATAGCCGTCCCAAACGAAGCCTTAATCTTCATTTTAGTGGTAGCTGGCAATTCCCTGTGCTCCTTGAATTGTAGTGGCTGTGTAAATATTTTTATAATCAAACTTTATGCATCGTTTTGTATTTTCTCAGTCATATGTTGTAATGGAATATATTGTTCTTTATTGCATAATCTTTCTCCTATTTTATGTTGGAGTGCAGTTACACGCTTCAGGGGGATTAATGTGTTTTCGGTTGGTGCTGATGTTATTACACTGTTATGTGCTGCCTATCTGGTAATGCTCTTTTTTCTTTGTGCTTTATTTTCATAAATTGAGTTGTTCTACTACAAACGCTTTCGATATGTATGTTCAACATTTTTCTTGTATGATTAGGGCGTATCTAATAGTTTTGTAATATGAATTGCATTATTTTTAGGATTAGATGGTGAATTTTGCAAGGTGTCAAATACTAAACAGATAGAGTGGAGGCGTAAGATATAATAGATTATCATAAAAAATGTTATTTCTAAAGAGTGAGAAAAAGTGAATGCTATCAGTCTTATAATTATTATAAGAACGTTAGAAATCTTACCAAGAGTGCAATAAGTAAAATGTACAACTTTTAACAGTTTATATGGTAGGAGTGGTACTAAGGAAGGAGAATAATAATAATAATAATAATAATAACAAGAGATATGAGATCTAGAATCTTTGACCAAATTAGATGCATTCATACCTGTTAACAGCGAATGGCGCACCATGGTGCAAAGGTTCCTTTGGAGCCATGGCGCATAAAGCATGGCGCGACGCGCACCATTTTGAGCATGATACAAACTATATAAGAATTATAAAATAATAAGCATGAATATGAAATAATATTGTCCAACATGATGCAAACTTTATATTTCACAATAATATTGTCCAAGAGACAAGAATTCACATGTAAAGTCCTCACCCCTTCCTCCTCTCCTATAGAGTTCAATGTCTCCCAATCAAAGCATGCACTCATGAAGAAAACTTATACAAAGCATGCACTCATGAAGAAATAAACTAACACTAACAACTATTACTAAAGATGATGAATACAACAATATGCTAGGCTACTTGGGGTCCAAGAGGGCGCTGCCCCCTGGCGAGGTTCGACCTGCCTGGTCAAGTCGCGAGGTCAAGGGGCAGTGCCCTTGTAGGGGCTTCCCCCGGAATAAATTTTATTTGTAAGAGTAATTTTGAAGTTCTGCTTATTTTTTAAGTTCGTAAGTCGTTTGTATGGAAATATACCTAGTGGTACCGAGCATGTACATAGCGGTACCGAGCATGCACCTAGCGGTACCGAGCATTTACCTAGCAGTATCGAGCAAGTACTTAGTGGTACCGAGCTTTTTTTATTTTATTTTAAGAGGTGGACATCACATTTAAAGTGGTACCGAGCATGTACCTAGCGGTACCGAGCATGTACCTAACTAGCGGTACCGAGCATTTTTTTTTAATTTTAAGAGGTGGACGTCACATTTAAATAATTTGGCGCGCTATTTTTCGCCGTGCGCCATGCGCCATGGCTAACATGTGGCGCAAATAGAGCACGCTATTTTAAACACATGCGCCTCGCCATGAACATGGCGCCGTAGGTGTGCCACGCTGCGCCGTGCGCCATGGCGCACGCTATTTTGCGCCATGGCGCACGCTATTTTGCCCCATTGGCAACTATGGATGCATTAGAAGTGAAGATAATGTATCATTGTTACAGAAGAAGATTTTAAAAAAATGAAAATGCTATTTTTAACAAATTCTTTTGAGTGAGTTAATGAATAAAATTATAATACTTGTTATAGATTAATCTAAAAAATAAGAAGATTTGTTATAAAAATTGGTTTATATGTAAAAATTTTGATAATTGGAAAAGTTATAAAGAGGCTCGTAAGAAATCTAAGAAAGCTATTTGCGATGCAAAGAACTTAGCTGATGTGAATCAATGAAGGAATTGCGTGCGGAAATTAAAATGAGCGTTAATTAAAGCGTTACCAATACAAATTTATCACCAATAAAAGGAAAGATTAAATTTATTCTAGGTTATCAACTTGTTTAGGCGAAGAATTGCTTTGAGATAACCAAACAATTCGTAACATTCCAAGACAAGAGAATTACTTAAATGCTCATAACAAAATCCCACAATTAATAAAGAGAAAATTCACCTCAAGGACCTTCTCACTTGTTCACTCTTTGGCTTTTAGTGGAGAAGAAAGAACCACACGAAGATGGAGAGTGCCACTACGGAAAAGGAGACGAAGGACTTCGTTACCGGAGAGGTAGCTGCCGGTGGAAGTGGTGGTGGATGGCGCCCGATGATCGTCCAAACGTAGTCTTGAAACTGTCGGTCGATGACGCGCACAAGTGATGGAAGAATTCGCTCCAAGTATTCGCCAACGGTGTCTTCGTGATCAAACCCCGTGTCAAAGAACGGGGATCGGAGGATGTTGAGGCTACCGTCGGCGTTGAACATAAGCCCCCACTCAAATTCGGGATCCGCCATTCAACATTGAAGAAGGGGCGGGAAGAAGAAAAGGGAGGGGATTTGGGCCGTGAGCTATGGAGTGGGTTGGAAGAAAATCTGAAGTTGAATTTCAGATTTTTGGATGGGGAGGAGAAGTTATTTGCTCTTAAAATTTCCCTCAATTAAGTTGGAGAGAGGGGCGGCTAATAGGGGAAAATTAAGGTAATTAGTGGGTGCTTACGTGGCAAGTAGAGAGAGAAGAGACTAGAAGGGGTGGCCGGCCAAGCAAGGAGGGGAGAGGGAATTTGGGTAATTGGTGGGGCCTAAGGAGTTAATTAAAATTTGAATTTTAAGTTTCTGATTTTAATTAATTAGGGAAGGTTTCCTAATGAAAAGAAAATAGAGGGATTTGAAATTTGAATTCAAAATAGGTGGGATCTCATTTAAACCTTTCTTAAATATGGTGAGTTATTTTAGGAAAGAAGTAATGAGAAAATTAAAGGTGAAATTCAAATTTTAGGCAGAGGGGGATCCGGCGGGATTCTACCAGGGGAAGAGGGGACGGGTCAGGGGGAGGCGGCGAGCCTGCATTGAGGCGGCGCAGAACTGGCACAGCTGAGCGACTAGTGAAGGGACGAGGTGGGGAGCCGGCTAGTTTTACCTGGGGGGTTTTGACGGGCGGCAACCAAGGGATGGTAAGAGGGAGGGGGCGGTTTTGGTTTGCTCGGGTTGAGGGGAAAAAAGGAGAAAACAACATAAAATTTTGGATAAAAGTAAGAGCTCAATAAGGTGGGCTGTGGGTATTGCAGGTGGAGCCTCTCCTAGGTCTCCTCACTTTCTCTCAAGCTCTCAAGCAAGACAAGAAGAATGAAAACTCATAAATTTTTATTAATCAAACATTAAGCTCATACAATAGGAGGAGACCTCTTTATAAAGGTCTCAAAACATGAAAATAAAATGACTCACATGCCCACCGGGCTACAACTAACACTAAGCCTTCATAAGGAAAAAATAGTCA